GGTGTCCTCGGTGGCGGGGAGGGTGTGCCGGTCGGTGGTGGGCGGGCAGCCGCCTCATTCCTGGCACACCTGCGCTGGAAAGGCTGCTACTGTGTCGGCTTAAAAATGTACCGGAGCAGCCAGGCCGACCGCGGGGCGAGGCCGATTTAAGTGTTGGCGCGTTCCGAGTGTGGCCCTGCTGCCCTGCGGCTTTGGCACCGGTGAGGCGCTGGGTGCCTCTCAGCCCTCGCGTCTGGTGCGAGCCTGTGCGGCTCTTGCGGGGTAATGGAAGATGGACCTGGCTTGCAGAAGCTTGGTGAGATGATTGGAAGTAAACACCGATTCCCATCCTAAACCCTTAAGTGCAGTCTGATTTCCGAAGCATTTTACGAACTTTGTTCCAGAGTTTGTTTTACGAACAGCGCAAGCAGACTGCGTTAGTACTAACCCACGGCGATAACTTTGCACTGAGGGTACACACGTACATACCCGGGAAATAAAGGAGGCAGAACACAGCTGACAGTTTGCTTGATGCAAAACTAACAGGGGTTTCTAAAGCGGGTGATTTTGTTAGCAACACACCAGCCTCGCTCTTTCAAGGACTGTGGTGGATGGTTCGTCTCTCTCTGTTGCGCAGAGTGTTTGTTTGGACTGCAGAATTGCAGAGCTGACGCATACCCGCAGAACCGCTGCCGGGCAGATATATTGTCTGAGAATTGTTATTGAATTCTGCTGCTTTCTCCCACTGCATTTAGTCCCGAGTCGTGCTGGATTGACTGGATGTAGCAAGGCTTGGCACTGGCACAGCTGGGAGGTTCCAGACCTGTAGTGGGGGGTCTGGTTTGGCTTGGGTTTTAACCACACCTTTTTTCAGCTATAACAGCTCTGCTGCATGTGCCTGTCTGCTTGTGTTGATCGTCATTAAACATGACAGGAGAGAAAAATCATCTTGCTCCCAACTGCTTTGAAGTAGGAGGTTTGAAACTCTGTTTGAAGCCGTGCTCTAGCCTGGTAATGGAGGCGCTTCAAATGCTGGATCAATACATCCTGCGCGAGTGCAAGCCTCTCTGGTTCTATTGCTCGTTTTCCCTGCCTTAATAGGTGGTATCTTTATTGTACTGCTGCTACTAGCTCAAATATAGCCACGTACAGTTTTATCCTTTATGTCATTTGTGTCAATAGGGAATAGAAGCTGTTAGTTCTCTCTGGCCCAGGTTTTCAGATGCATTGAGGTGTTTAAATGCCATTAAAATCAATGCTGCTGCTGTAAAAGCAGTGGTGTTTGTTTCGAAAGAAGAATAAACTGCCTGCTGGCACGTACAGAGCACGTTGCAGGGTGGGCAGGTTATATCCTATGGGTCTGATTCCCCGAATCGAACAGGGCTACCTTAGCCTGTCCATGCCTGTTGGTTATCTGCACTGTCTGCCCCACCGATGCTGTGGAGCAAGCCTGTTGTGTGTATAGCAGGTGCTGAACTGCACGTATTACAGCCTTCTGTATCCAAAGTAAAAGCAGGGATTACTTTACCTCAGTATGCCACGTTCCTTCCCAAGCAGCTGTTATCCTTGTGGCGGGAGCAGGGCAAGTACCTGGAGTCCGAAGCAGCCATAGGCACCGCGATAGGCCACAGGCGTGTGTTGCTCAGCCGCAATTAGTCACTATTCTGTAGATCTCAGCCTGAATCTGTGGGACTTCGACGCATGCAGTTAAGTGCCTTGTTAGTTTGATGATCTGTGCATAGGATGCACTGGGATGGTTTTAAGAAACCTTTACCAAGGTAACTTCAGACTACGTAGTGTACTGTAATACATTTCTATCGATAATATTCTCCTGTTAGAGTTACAGCATTGCCTGGGGGCTCTTGTCGCCCTTTGGACTGGAGCTTGTCTTATTATGGTGTTCTGGTAGATTAGCTTGATGAAGTGTTGCACTAATTACAGTTAAACTTAGTTTGATTCAACTTCTTAATGCTCTAAAAGCATTGGTGGACAAGGGAAAACTAATGGATGTCATCTATCTGGATTTTTGTAAAGCCTTTGACACGGTCCCCCACAACATCCTTCTCTCTAAATTGGAGAACCATGGATTTGATGGGTGGACTGTCTGGTGGATAAGGAATTGGTTGGATGGTCGCAGCCAAAGGGTAGTGTTCAATGGCTCAATGTCCGGATGGAGACCAGTGACGAGTGGAGTCCCTCAGGGGTCCATACTGGGACCGGTGCTGTTCAATATATTTATCAATGACATGGACAGCGACATCGAGTGTACCCTCAGCAAATTTGCAGATGACACCAAGCTGAGTGGTACGGTTGAGACATCAGAAGGATGGGATGCCATCCAGAGGGACCTGGACAAGCTGGAGAGGTGGGCCTGTGTGAACCTCATGAGGTTCAACAAGGACAAGTGCAAGGTCCTCCACCTGGGTCGGGGTAATCCCCGGTATCAATACAGGCTGGGGGATGAAAGGATCGAGAGCAGCCCTGCTGAGAGGGACTTGGGGGTACTGATAGACGAAAGGCTGGACATGAGTCGGCAATGTGTGCTGGCAGCCCAGAGGGCCAACCATGTCCTGGGCTGCATCAAGAGAAGCGTGGCCAGCAGGTCGAGAGAGGTGATTCTGCCC